AGAACAGGCCAATCATAAATGACTGAATTCCACATATTATTCAGGAAAATAAGTGGAATTCGATTCACTCATTTCTGTCAAGTTCCTGATGGAAGAATTTGGGTATCTTTTCTATTCATTTGAATCGTTCGCCAGCGTCATCCAGGGGCTATCAACCCATTTCCCATTTAGGGCTTTCTGCTTCTAATCATATATAACCATTGCCGACCGAAATTACAACTACGATATTCAGCATTCAATAACTTATGGTGCATACTGGCTCCCTAATGGTGGAGAGCGCCCAAAAAGCATCCGATATTTCTAGATGTGGCATGCTATAGAAAAAAAACTTGACGACCGAAGATTGAAAAAAAAATACTAACCGCCTTCAGCTGTGCGGAATTGAATTACTTCACTCGGTTCTCCCTCATGAGCGCCATTTGTCACCTAAACGGCTCAATTTATTTTCGAGTGGCCCATGAGAAATGATTAATTTGATGTTAGTTGTCACCTGAATTGTTGCATAGTTCGTAGTGTCTGGCTGTAAATCCGTCACTGTCCCTGAGGTTGCTTTTGGTCCAAAAATAACCGTGCGCCTTTTGCTTTCGACGTTTCGCTTTGTCACAGACTAGAACACTTTCATAAGTGAACAGTGAATCCTCTGTGCTGCACAAACATTTTTAGCTAAATCCTAAGAGTTCTTGAAATAATATATGTGAGGCATTTCTAGCAAATTCATTATTCCCATTGACGAACGTCACATCTGGTGTTCACAGGCTAACCCTAGCCAAGGAAAATATCGCGCCAGATAACGCGCCAGTATTTGTTTTAGAGAAAATTCCCAATAGTGAGCTTTACGAGGTTATATTTCTTTCAAATGCAAAGAAATTATGCCGAAAAACATACTTTAGCTGATCGTTTGAAACGGAAACGCGTATCGACTTCGTTCTCATCCTCTTCGCCGTCCACTTCGTCATGCCAGTAAGTTATCTGAAATCAAAACTTTAGCATAAATCCCTGGGCGTTGAATTGTTTTCTTCTGCACCTTATATCCAGTGAAGTTCCCATTGGCCGTTCGAGGATCGACAGGATCCCACGAGAATGTCGCTGTGGTACCATCCTGAAAAGGCTTCGTTTAATTAGAACAATTACTGAGAAGCAGAACCATTGCCGCTTGATGAGTTTTCAAAGGTATATGGTATCGACGTCATCGTTTATTATGGATCTAAAAAGTGACCTTGCTGACAACGCGGAATCCCGTGGGGATGCTGCTCGGCACTCCCTCGCCCGTGTGTCCTTTCACAGTCTCGGGAACGACGTTCGCTTGGCCCTCATCATTCACCGCTTGAACCTGAGAACACAGCAGATAAAGGAATAAACAATTTAGCGATACAAGCATCTTGAATTCAACGCTCGTACCTGGACTTCGTAAGGTTGGAAGGGCTTCACATCCTTGTCATCGTCGAGAGTGATTGTGTAACGATCGGCAAAAGGATCATTCACTTGGACTTCTTTCCATTCGCCATCGCCATCGGCTGGGCGATATCTATAAAGGGCATCGGAAATGGCGAGTCAGAAAGTCTCATTTCTCGAAGGGAAGAGTTAATGGGTGCAATTCCTTGAGCGCGCCAGTTGAGAAATTCGAAGAAAACGCCCCACGAAAGTTCAAATATCTAGTGTTCTACACTGCCAAGATCAAAGCGCACTTGTTTACCAAAACAATCTCCTCTCATGAACTGCCAGTTGTAAAGTCGACGCAATTAAATTTCCGCGAAATACTTTTTCCTGCATTCACACCTCTTAGGAAAGAAATACCCGCATTATTTTTCTAATTATATGAGCCGCTAGCTTGGTGGATCGTTTTATATGTATGTAGGTGTGGCTGTATGTCCGTCCGCAAAATGAAAGTGATAAGGCAGCTACTGGAATAAACAAGCCGCTGGCAAATCTGGGCAGCTTGCAGGACTTGCGCTATCGATGTTTTGCAATG